AGCTGGTGTCCACGAGCATTGTGTGAACCTCGTCCATCACCAGCATGGCCAGACGCTTCTGCTGCACGAGAGTTTGCACCCACCTCATCCCATAGCCAACCAAAAAGTCGACCGTCATGACAATCACTTGAACGTTGACTTGCATGTCACGGCCATCATTCTTAGCCCACTGCGATACAATGTCAGCCTGCTCGAAGCGGCGGCACCAGTCTCTGGCAAGCTCACGAAGCGGGACTATCCACACCACGACCTTGCGTGGCTGGAGGTGAGCGAGTGTACACCGCGTCTTGCCCATGCCAGTCGGGGCCACGGCCAACAGCCAGCCGTCCTGGGCCTCGTGCCGAGTCACAGCCTGTGCCAATCGATACTGATCCCAGTCGCGAAATGTTGTCTTCCACGCTTGCCGCACACATTGAGCCAGCCAAAGCTGATCCTCATACTCTTCTTGCTGCGTTTGGTCATTGTGCTGACTTGGCTCTTGCTGCAAGGCCGTCGACGCAGCCTCTTCCACGGCTCGCGGCACGGCAACTGGCATGGACGATTCGGCTGCCTCGACTTCGTCTAAATCCAACCCGGCAATGATATCGTCAATGTCGTCCTCAGCATCAAGGCAGGCTTCAACCTCGAGATCTGTTTGCGTGCCCACGGTCGCTTGCACCTGTGTGCTGGCGTTCCTGACCCGAGACGACTGGATGACCACCTGTTTATGAACCACTTGTTGCACGCAGGTCTGTCCATCTACGGCCTCAGCTTGGATCTGATTCTCTACATCTACCAGCTTCATGAGCTTGTGCCATTCTTCAGACACAAACTGATGGCCGTACTGTGCTTCACTGGACACAAACTTGTGATCGAGCTGCGTGCGGCCATAGACATTCCGTGCCGTCCTGCCTGCATGCTGGCTTTGAGAGTGTGCCACATTCAACGCCCCCAATGAAGGCTCGGGCGTATGATGCAACACCAGTGTACGCAGCCAAGCCACACTCATGTGCCGCCATGCGCTGACAGTGATGCTGGTTCCAAGAAACCGCTTGGTCACGGCCTGGATGGTTCGGTAGACTTGGCCTGGCCGAAGCTGTTTTTCGAGCTGCATTGGCGCAAT